TCGTAAAATAGTACCAAAAGCGAGACGCTTTGGGGGTTAATTGCTCTGACTTTTTGTGTGGCGACGTGATTAACCCTACCATTAATCCGCCTAACCTAAGACATTTAAATTGTATATTACGCCATGATAAGTGCAAGCTCATAACTTAAAAAAACGTATTTTTAAAAGTGTTGATGCTAAACCAGATCTGAAATTTTTCGCCCTCTCAGTCGAACGTATCTTGCTGTAATCATTTCCTTGAGTGTCACGTCTGACGCCTTTGCTGATATCATGCACACATCAGGTGCACATAAACAGGTCAATCAGTTTTCTATTGGTTTTTAAATTTACATCAGATCAACCACCCGCAAAGTTATTGCCGCTAGGTTGCTGGGAGTTGTCAATTTGAGTAGCTTACCACATCGAGTTACAGACGGATGATTTTTAGAATTCTAGAATCTGCAGATTATCAAAGGCAGCCAACTCAGCTTGATATTTTTTGAAGTTCAGATAAAACACAGGACCAAGAGCACTTCTTTCAGAACTTTTTGCATTTTATATCCGTACTTCTGCGGAATATATAAGTTGAAGATATCTAAACAAAGTGTGAATCAATCAATCGATGATCTGTCATTAAATTTTGAGTGAAAAATTGATTTGAGTTCAATTTGGGCTCGATTGAGTGATATAACATTACAACTAAATCGTTATAATCCCTAAATAAAAAGAGATTTGTTGAACTCTAATATTATTTTCAAAAGGATAACCAGAGCTTGCAGTAATTTTAACAAACCTCAATTAGTTCAAGTTTGTGGTTTTCTGATGTTTCGAAGAATCTTATAGATCTGGTTACTTATAAAGAAAACTTTTAAAAGCCACCAATCATTTCACTTTGGATTCGGATATGTTTTTTCAAGCCTTTCACTAATTTCCTCAAAAACTAGGTATTTGCTTATTGAGCTTAAAAAATCACTTTTAGGTTTGTTTTATTACCCAACCTCTGTCATCAAATGGTTCTGCACTCTTGTGGATCTTATAAGAGCTTGTGTAAACTATCCGTATATATAGAAAATTGGCATGTTTGCATTATAAATGGCCATAGCAAAATTCATCCAAATAGTGTTCTTTACGTATTCGGGATTCTCGAAATTGTTACTAAGCCAACCCTGATTTCTCATTGATATTTCAAAATTGCTCATTGACATTATCAGCCTAAACAGACATTATATAGCACCACAACTCATTACATTTCTTAAAAAGCCCTTGGAGTATTCGGGTTCAGTGTCATTTTCTGAGCCAATAATTTTGCAGCTGTTTTAACTTCTAGTAATTTATTTATAACGCAAGACTGCATTTCAGTTTACCTAGTCAAAAACCATGTCCGCCTCCTTGTGATTCGCTTCTAGGGGAAAGGAAACCGTTGTAACTTAAGCTGGCGGATCTATATCGGTCTTAAGGGCGGATCAATATGGATCTGATAATCACGGAAACATTGCTGTCAGGGAAAAACAATTACACTAGGGCTCATTGGCACCAAACAGGATCTACTTAACAATCCCTCTCGCATGATATCTTCTAAAGAATCTCCACCCCCTCTAAATAAAAATAGTAAATTAGCATTGGAGCTTTCTATTGAGAAGTCTGCTTTTGTGGCATTCTGGTTGGTTAAAAACTCTACTATATTAATCCACTTAACAATCTAAACCCTTGAAAGGAGGAGGGGAGAGATTGTTAAGTAGAACCTGAACAGAATCATTATCGGAAACTTGAAGTAGAAAAAAAACTCAATTATTTTTTTCATAACTTTTTATGCGCTAGCCAAGTCAACGTAACTCGTGTATTATAATATTGCGCAAATTTAGTAGGCTTATTGGAAGTTCTGCCTGTATTATGTAGATACTTTTGCAGCTTGCTGCCCTTTCAACAAAGTGGTATCAGGAGGGAATTGTTTTCACTTCACTTTTCATTAAAAGCTTTGGAAAGCTATTTTTATCCGTTCGTATTAGTATGCAAAAAGAAAAAAGATCGGTCCTCTTGCAAACATCCCATAGAGTAGGTATCCGAAATTACGTATAAATTTTGCAATTTTAAGCTATAATATTTGAGAAAAATGCTTTTATGCATGAAGATCACCCGCTACACTCCGTCCTCAATTCTGGATGCTTAAGGTTTCCAAAGGATCCCCTTTTGCCGCTATATTTATCGAAGTCACTTTAGCAATAAGGCGCGCCGAAAGAAACGTGCTTTTTTGGTCTAATCTTTCCTTTAAAGGCTCGAAAAGTTTTGATTTTGATCCGAAAAAATAGATCAACCGTAGAATCTCCCCCCCCCCCCCCCCCAAGGAACCTACCGTAGAATCTCCCCTCTAGCCACGTGTTAATTTAGAAAAATGATTTCGTATCGAACATTCATTTGAAACAAAAGCGCAGATTTGACTGCCTGAGAAAACTTTTCAAAAGGAATATTTATTTTATACTGTTAATTAACCAAATTATTATTCATTCTTATCTTTGTATTTTTTTTTCACTAATTAGATCAATTTAATTTGCTATCAGAGTTGATTTACGAAAAACCAGCATCCTCCCCTAAATCGATTAGGGGCGGGGGGAACTGTACGGTTGATCCGAAAAAATACCACTCGGTGCAGAAAGTTTTGCTTAAATATCAGTAGCGGATTAAAGGGGAACGAACGCCCCCCATCAGGGATGACCCCTGCCGCCCTTTATACTATTTTGAGATATCCAATTTTATTTTTCTTGGTTATTTACGATCTGAAAAAATCATCTCAGATCTAATTTCAGATCAGAAATTTAATTTTTCGTGGGAATTTCAGATCAGAAAAATCAATGATTTTGACACAATTTCTGCTATTTTTGATAATTTTGTATTTTATAGCTTATGTTAGCTACTAGCTGGTACTCAGCAAAGTCTCCAATGGAAAACTGCCGAAATATATTTCCCCAAGCTTGAGATTAGCATTGGAAACGCATAAGTAGCGCCTGAAAACCAAAAATTGATAGGTCTTCTTACAGTTTTGGAAACTTTTTATCACAGTTGAACAAGAAATTTAGTCGTTAAATTAATCGTAATTTTTTTTCTAACGCTAGTTGATCTAAGCGTTATTGTAAATTGCAGAAACATAAAAAAATTAAAACTCAATTGTTTGCTCGAATTGAATAAATTATAATTTAACTAAGGGTTTATCAGATCTAACTTCAGATCTGAAATTTTCTATTTTAGATCCAAATTTCAGATCTGAACTTTTCAAATTCTTATCCAGATATGAAGTAAAAAATTTCAGATCTGAGAATCAACTAATGTAAGAAATAAAGAAATTCAGATCTTGCACAGAAAATCCCTTGGGTACGGGTGATGGACACTAAAATTATTCTAAAGAAAGCTGTGTCGCGAATACACACCAATTAGGGAAGCACGCGCCAAAAAACACAATTTTTTGGTCAAACTTTATCAAAATGTACCTAACAATGCTTTTTTGGCCGGTTTTTCAGAACTTTGCAGAAATTTGGGTCAAAATAGAGTACTAATAGTGATTTTTAAGAGCTCGGAAAATCACTTTTAGTAATCAATTTGGTCGACCTACAAAAATTTGATAGTTTTCGAAATGTTTTTGAAAATCCACCCACTTCGAGAAAATCTTAGATCCGCTCCTGCTAAACTTTCTAGCGTTTCGGCAGAGATCGATTTATTTTGATTTAACCAGTCACAGTTAACCAGCCAGAGCTTTATGCTCTCCAAACCCCCATTTCACAAATACAAATAATGCTTCTATTTTATGGTGTATGGTGTAACGAGGGGTATTACAAAAAGCGCAGAGGCAGGAAAAAGGCCCAATCGGGAGGTTAAATATTGAGGTTTGCTAAGCTATGGTTACATACAAGAGGTCACCTTGTAAATTGCAGTGCACGTGCAATTTGAACCCGCAATCAAATAATTACTGGGCATCATCAGTAACCATTCGCCATAACGCCAACTTAACATGGATGTCAACTTACCTAGAAAGAAAATAAGGAAGCAAAAACCAACAAGTATCATTAAAAAAGCTAACGAAAGAAAAAACGAACACGCATTTCATTAACAATTCTCATTGTATCAATTTGTGTTTGAAGACTTTTTCTATTCTGCACTCTCTGAAAATGATAAATGTTCTCTTCTTTCAGCCATTTATTTTGTGTTCTCTGCAAGTGTAAGCCACTTCAACTTTGAATTTTTTGAAGTTTGACCTAGCAATAGATTTTTAGACTTCTTCCAACTTTTAGCGCAAGAAAGATCTTATTGCCTTTTTTTATGAAATAAAAATCGAGAATTTATAGCAACAGTGGAAACTCAACTCAAATTGGAAAACAACAAAGAAGGAGTTATACATAGATAATTGAATTCATTATATTTCCTATTTTGTTTTTTGACTTTTTGATTACCATTTTTATTATTTTGGTTCATTTTTTGAATTAATTTTAGGAATCATTCTTCACTATAGGCAGTACTCAAATAGCTATAGTAATTTTTCAGAATTAAAAAGCGTTCATATATGTGAGAGTAATATCAATTTGACAATAAACTTCGCGACCTATTTAATCACATGAAAATAATTCTGAACTGAGCCATATTTTGTCTCGGCTTTTGAAATTTTACCAACTGGCCGCAAAATGTTTTGGTAAGCTTGAGACAGCTTAAGACACCCATTTTTAGGTAACTTTTTCTGGTAATAAATTCAAAATTCACGTGCATGCTTGCCGTCGGTCTTTCAATTGATCGAAGTACTTCAGTCATTTAATAGCTAATCTTTGTGCATATTTGTTGGAAAGATCATAAAATCAACTATCTTAAAAACACTGAATATCAATCATTTGTACTTCAACATTAAGAAAATTCTCTTTTGTTGAACATTTTTTTTTCGCTGAAAGTATCTTCGAGGAAACGAACTATATGATATGTTTCATATTTTTACCCAGGCTATACTCTCATTTCTGCTTTGACTCCAGATGTTTTATTGTTTGCTTCAGAACTTCAGCCAGCCACCAACTAAATCACTCAAACTGGCTTAATTCTCTGCAGATACACGCTTTGAAATACAAATCACATGGAACTTTACCAACAACACCGAAAATAGTTTTAGGCCTTATTACTAGAAATGGTCTCGCGAAGTCCCTCCAACTATTACATTTTTCGTTCCTCGAACTGGAAGAATCCAAGTCCAAGTCGATCATAATTTGACTGGCGCCAACTGAGCTCCAATGTTTGTGACTTTGAGTAACAAATTATACTAACAAAACACATTTCATTCAAATCCCCTGTCTTAACTTTTATTGCACATTCAACGACAGTTGAAAAAAATTTAGCATCAAATTACGCGTTCATTTGCATATAGTTTTTTCTTTGTCCTTTAACAGGCGTATTTTTATTGGCAGCAAATAGCAATGGCGTATAACTCAAAAACTGAAGTTTTTTACGGCAGCTTAGACTGTTTTTCAATCGCGATGAACCTTCTCAGCCTAATCGCACTTCGCAAAGTCAGCAAATTATTCAATCATGAAGTTTTGATCCTAATCGGCTCCATTACAATTCTATCTCTATCAGGTTGTACTCTTTTTGTCATCAAGATCGTCAAAAACTTTCAAGGTCCGGGCAACATGGCTAGTTTAGTTTGCTTAGCCGTACCAATTACTTATAACCTACTCCTGCCCGCCATCTTATCCAAAGGGCTGAAACAACTTCGTCCCAACGAAGATCTTCATTTCTCGTGTAGTTATCTTTACGGGATAGTTTGTACGTCGCTGGTTGTATTTTTTGTCATGGTTATTTCCCCCATGCCGGGAATGGATTATCATAAGTTTCAGCAACCGGTTCATGCTCCCCACCCAGGACTTCACACGAGCGTCGCGACGCCACTTCTCATGATTTCAGGCTCAGTGCCGCAAATGTTTTCATCGCTTCTCTCATTATTGCAAATTTACAAAATAAGCGGCAGTTTATTCTGCTGCAGACAGCACACAACTGTCAAACATGCGACATACGAGCATGAACTGATCAAAAAGTATCTGAGAAGGTGGGGACTTGGTTCGGTTATTTGTGTGTTCCCGTCCGCGTCAATGAACGCATTGGGTTTCTTTCTGTGGAAAGTAGGGCGAAAACTGCCAGCCTCTCTTGGGTTCTGCCATGCCCTGTGTGACACTTTACTTTTTCTCACCCAACCTATGGCTCTTATTTTGCTATGGCTCACCTACAAAATAAACCAACTCAATTCAGAAGTAGATCAAAAACAAAAAGTAGTTCACGTGAACAAACATATGGTCGAGCAAAACCGAAACACTCAACCAACTTATTACGTGACCGAAATGCCACAGCAGCAGTTTTTAGTGGCTTCAAATCATGAACCGCAGTTGGTACAGCATAACGGTCAACTATTCTCAATTCAACTTAATAACGGAAATGCCCGAATACATAATGGACGAGCTATAACCCATAAAAGTCTGGATCAATTTGCTCTCAATTCAACAGGAATGAACGACGTCCAGCCCAGTCCGAAGAAACAAAGAGAGAGTGTGAAAAGAATGTCATTTTCAGCTAATTCATCACCAGTTATGGCTTCAAGAGGAGCATTTATCCAAAGCGAAGTTTAATACACAAACAAAATTATTATTATTATTATGAGTTTATGTCTGCCATTTTCATAATGTTTGATTTAGTTTTCTATACCATAATTTCATTGGAAACCGTTAAATCATCTGAATTAAATTTTGATGTAAACTTCCTAGTTCCTAGAATTTGCTGCAAATGGCGCCAAGTTGTTTAACCTCTAGTAATACAATGCTTGCGATTATATATTTAAAAAAAAAAACACATTGCAGATAAGTTTTTACATTCAGTATTGCAAAACGCAAAAAAAAACAAATTAAAATAACAGGTTGCTTGTTCAAGTAGTCAAATGTTTTGACCACAGTTATTTTTATTTCGATATTTTGTTACTGTTTTGTCGAGTGCATGATCGTGCAACTTAGCTTTCTGAAGTACCTAGTTACAGTCGATAAAACAAAATCAAATTGTTTAAAATATAACCTTAAAATGGCACTCCATTCATCCACGCTTTGCTCGCTCCAAACGGCGAAACTTTGTCCTTCGAAAAACGTTTTAGATTCATTTATAATGAATAACAAAATTCAAGGTTCCGACTGCTTTTTAAGCTCTATGTTGAAAAAGAGAAAAACCTCATACTCAGTGTTCGCTTAACAAAAATTGATTTCTGAGTTTTTTTCATAAAACAGTACCATCACACGTTGTGTGAAGTGCAAAGTAATATTTTAGAAAATTACAGTTTTGATTTAAATAAAACGGACAAAAAAATTATAGGAGTTATAGGACAAAAAAAATTTAGGAGTTTTTCTCAAATTGGGTTAAGATTAGACAAAAAGCTGCTAATAATCTCACCAGAATTATCATGGTTCAATTTATTGTGCAAAATTTGCAACCAAATTTAACCCCAAAAACGTTTATTTAATTACTCAAAGGTACATGGAAACTACCAAGTTAAGTGATAAGACTTCGATAAAAAAAACCTCTTACTCAGCCTAACGAAGTTCTAGAAGCGTTAAATCTCCAAAAAACTCTATAAGAGAAAATTTTGTTGCTTGACATTTAAACAAAGGTCATTTTTAAAACACTCAAATTTCGAGCGTTTTACGAATATTTTGAAGATTTTTATCCTTCTAAAACTTTGTTTGGCTTTCGACTTCTTTCGATATAAACTTTTCATCATGTAGTTTGGTAGTTTCAGCGTAATTCTTGGGTCAATTACAAAAAACCAAAACGGCCACAGACATTTTTCCGCTCGCAACATGAGGCCATTAAGCCAGTATAAAATAGGCCGAAATCAATCAAGCTAAAAAAAAAGGAAAAAAAGTCGAAAACAATTTGTTTTCATGAAAAAATTTTACTATAATTTCAGCAAATTGTGTGATCCAGATGTCAGCATAAAAACTACATTTCACGTGGAAGGACTCAATATTAGGTCAATATTCGGTCACTAACCCGACAAGATACAAGCCGAAACTATTTGGGCAAAAAAAAGTTGTAAGCAAAAAAAACGAAAGAAATTACAAACAGCCGAGGTAAATCACAACAATAAAAGCAACTACATTGTAAATTGCAAATTGCGTACAGCAAAAAAAAAACTATTGTACGATGTGGCAACTAAGCCGACAAAACATAAGCAGAAAAATAATAAGCTGACAATTTATTATTCGAACCTAGGACCTTTGCCGTCCCAGGCGTATTCGTTACCTCCAGATCAAGCGTGCCTGAGACGCAAAAAATTCTAATTTCGAATGAACCGAACCTACGTTTACCGTTTCTAATTCTGACTAATTCTAACCATTCTGTGAACAAACTTATTATCGGGGAAAATTTAGTACCCGATCGCAAAACTGTTGCTTATCGCAAGGGTTCTTACTTAGATAAAGCGAAATTTGGCGAATAAGTTTGGTTGCGAACCTAGCAAAATAAATTGCACCATGATAATTCTGGAAACTTGAAATGAAGCATGATATCTGTTCTATTAAATACAAAGCTTATTTAACTCATCCGGGCAAAACTAACAAAACTTGAAATTTCAAATGCGTTTTTTGAAATCGAGCTCAGATTAGACACAGAAATAGGAAAAAAGGTTGCGTAGTCATGTCTGAGCTCAATTTCAGAAAAACGCGCTTGAAATTTCAAATTTTGTTAGTTTGGCCCTGATACTTTAAAAAAACCTATATTTAATAGAACAAATAGCATGCTTCAATTCAATTTGGAATTGAAAGCACAAAAATATCGCATGTTAATTATCACAAAATTGGCGAATTGGCAACTTTAAACTCCTTTTACTTCAAAAAAAAAGATTACACAATTGAAATATCAATTGATTACAACAAAACATTGACGATTGAAAAAAAATTTCGTTGAAAGGCCGAAACTTGTCTGGATAAAAAAACCACCCCGAGCAAAAATATTTAGTCATTTTCTTCGAAAGTCAGAAAAAAAAAAAAATCATATTCCACTAATTAGCCGCAACAAACCAAGCCGACACCAATGAGGCTTAAAAAATCTCAGGAATCATTTCAGCAGCAAAACTTAACACAGAGGCAAAGCTGAGCTTCGCAAACAGTAGCGAGAACACGACAAAAATCAGCTCTATAAAATGCAATAAAAAAAATAGAAATAAGCCTCGTATTTAAAATACGACCTAAAAATACGACCTATGCAACCTAGAGATTATGAGTCTCACGCACTAACCACTCAGCCACGGACGCTTAATTGATAACATACACTAGCTTCAAATAAAGCAGAGAACAGATGCTATGAAATTTCCAATGTTACAGATCGTGATTATAGCAAAAGTTCCACCAAATAATGAACAATTTTATTTGCGAGTAAGGTTCGAAAAAAGAAAGCTCGTACTAACACACTAACACTCGCAAGCTTGCTAGTGTAAAAATGAACCGTTAGTGTATTGAGATATAATAATAAATAAATTTGTTTTCTAGCTATGCGTACTACTAAAATGTATAAATTTTATAATTTAACATCCGAAGAGCACCAGTTTGAGCGAAACTGAGCGCGCCTGTTTGAAAAGCCGCGAATGAACTTTGCAATACTTCAGAAGCATGTTTTTCACAATTTATTTGAATTGTAACAAAATTTTTCCTTCTGTTACTTTGAAATTCTGTGAATAACTGATCATTTTATAGAAGCTAAGACAATAGTATATAGAAATGCAACGCTCAAAACAAAAAAAAAGCAAAAAAAATCTCAGATATGAAGACATATTAGGCATAATTAATCATCAAAATATGTCTAATTTAAACATTCGTTCAATTTAGCAACCGATCGAACAACAAAATATCTACTCAAAATTATCAGTGAAAAGATCATTTTCAAACCAAAGTTTTTAAGAAAAAACTATGTTGCCGGGTTGCAACACCATTTGAAATTAAAAGGGTAAAAAATTGACAAAACATATGGGTAAAATCATACATAAAAATCAAATCAAATCTTACGCAATTAGTATCAATAATTATTTAAATTAACAGTGGAAGGAATAGACGAAAGGCATATTCCGTTTATTGGTAGCAGACTAATTTACCCTAAGTTCTTTAAACCTTTTCTTCCAATTTGCCCTATTCCAATCTACCTTTGTCAAATTACCCTACAAATATTTTTTAAAATTTAAACAGTTTAAGTACGTGATTAAGAGATTTGACTGACACCTGTTAATTATGTAAAACGCCATCAGTTTTTTGTTCCTTCAATCCCACTGCCTTTTTTTAAATACCAATGCTTTCCAATAGCTATTTTTCCATTCAATCCCATTGCCTTTCACTGACGTGTGATCCTAACTCCACGCTTAAAATGCGGTTGAAAATTGAAAACATTTGAAGTAAGTATGGGCCCAATTTTCATAAAATTGCTATGGACGGGCAGCTGAAAATAGAATAACTCAGAAATTCAAAATAACACAAACTTCTAACTCAAGGAAAGGGAACGTTTGCGAAATCAGAAAAAAATCGATAAGCCAACTTTAGCGGAGTTTTCGAAGCTAAAATCTGTAACAATGATGCAAGGATTTTGCTGCAACTCCATGGTTATCTTCATTATGTAGTGGGATGCCCAGAAAGTACTCAGAGTGGAACTCAAAAACTCAACCGGAGCCAGTGGGCTTCATCGAGAAGGACTTTGACAGTCTTGTTTTTTATTGTACATTCTTGTTTTTCGTGATTCCCTCGATAATGTTTCGTGGTTCTCTAGAAACGATCGGGTAAAAACAATAGTTAGGCTTCCAAATCGTACTTTGATCTGGTAAAAATTAGTATGATAATAAATGAAATTCGCTGGCTTTTTTTAAAGTGAAGAGTTGATGCTTTTTTTGGCCGAGGAGCAAGAGATATTACGAAAAGGCAAGTAAACTTGGGCTACGACTTCGAGATCTTGGTCAGCTTCGGCGATTTTTTTTCGACACTTACATATTATTAATTGCACTGGAAATCATGCTTTTTTGTTTCAGTTTTGAAATCAAAACAATAACTGCCAAAGAACTTTAGAGAATTGAAATTTTAAAGCATTGTAGATTGTTGACATTCGATAGAAAAAAATAATTTACTTCAGAGCATTTTCAAAAAGGATTTATTTTTCAGGAAGACAATGTCAGTACTGAATGCCAGTTTATTTTTAGAACATAAGCTTTTTCAGGAGCTTTGGTTAGCCAAAATTCAATTGGTAGAATCTGGTTACAATTGATGGCTCTTTACTTGAAAAATAAGTGGATGATCTCTCAGATCAATTCTCACAAGCTACTCCTGCCAGACATGTTTTCTCTGGCAAATTAGATGCAGTTAGAAAGATTCAGGACCGAGTCTATGGATCTAGTTTTCATAGAGGGAGATTTCCATGCCGTTATTTTACAGACAATAAGTACTTATCAAAAATGAGTGTACACACCTGGAAGTTCTTGCAAACAAAGATACAGACTGCAATCATAACCTTGGTGGAAATTCTAGTGTGCTTTCCAATATTTATGAAGATGAGTTTATTGAACTGGTTTGCAACGGCTGCTACTTCGCCTATTATATTTTGTGAATGCTTCAGTTTGCCAGATAGAGTACAGGTGGATTTAAAAAATGAATGGCGTGCGCTTCCCCTGAAAAAATAAACGTCAAGAATAAGTTGTAACCTACCATAGACAATGTTTCGGACCGTAAATAGTAAATGGCAGCAAAAATGACGCGGCAATAACTTCTTCGACCTATAGCCTCCCCGTAAAGATAAAAATACCTACATACAAAAACTTGGATATATCTACGGGGATTGCAGAAGTGATGGAAAGGCTATTAGTAGACAGTACAAATCCAATTGACACAATGCTTTTAACTTAAAAAATTTATTCCTACGAACATTTGAATACTGTTTAGAATCCGAAGAGTAAGTTACATTTGAGATGATTTTGAGACTAGAAAGCAAAAAAGTTGCCTCGATATTAAAAGAAAGTGTATCTATGAATGTTTTAAATGCAAACTAGCAAGCATATCTTTGTTACTCAATCGGCACGCAGAAAGAAACGAATCTTTGAAATAGTTCAAGCATATTTTAGCTTGAATCGGGGCACAAGTATAATTGTTAGGTCCCGTGAAAAAGCCAGTATGAAAGATGGATCCCGCAAATTGCGTGAAAATTTCAAAATCACAGTTAACGAATGTTTTCGAACACTTTAGGGCTCAGTAATGTTCTTCAGAGAACCATCTAAAGTTGATGGTCCCAACTCTCATACTTGTACCTGAACCGGTTCGCAAAATTTTTCTAAGCAAGCCATTGAAGCGATGAAAAATTCAAAAAACTTAGAAGTTTTGAAATCCAAGTTTTTCGAAAATTTATGAAAAAATAACAAAACTCTCATACCTCAAAAACTAAAAAACATATTTCAAGGCCAAATTTACAACTCCTGGAAAACTCTGACAGCACTTTATCATAGGGTTGCTAATTTCAACTTTTGTGATAATTTTTAGTTTTAAGTGTTTTGAACATTTTTCAAAAACCATAAAAAACTTTAATTCTCGGAAGCTAAAAGAATTTGAGCAATCAAATTTGGAGGCAAAAGTTTCAAATCCTGAAACCAATCTGACAGTTCTTCATCATAGGATTGCTAATTTCAAACTTTGGCCAGTTTTTTTCCAATCTAAATTTTTTGAAATTTTTTCAAAAAGATCACGAATAAACGTCGTATCTCGAAAGCTAAAAGAACTTGAGCAGAAATATTTGGAGGCATGATTTGCAACGCATGAAATTACTCTGACAGCACCCCACCATAAGATTGCTTATTTCAACGCCTGCTAATTTTTTAAATTTTAAATGTTTTGAAAATTTTTGAAAAAACATAAAAAACGTCATATCACGGAAGCCAAAAATATTTGAGGAGACATAACTCGAGACAAAATTGGCAACTCCAGTGAGTATCCCGACAGCTGACAGAACCCCACTATCGATTTGAAAATTTCAAATTTAGGCGTTAGTGATTCAAGTGCCGGAATTGAGGAAGTTTCTCAAAAATTCAAGACAAACTGTCTAGACATTTAGCCTTGCCTAAAGAAAGACCTTAAGTTGATATACGCGGTAGCAAAAAGTGTCATAAGTTGCAATTTGACCGACTGACATTAAAGCTCCTCTCGTGCTTGCCATGCTACATCCGCCGAACAAACGTGCGAAACCTTCCTCTCGAACGACTCGTATTAAGCCATCACAAGCGTGCTTGTAATTTCTTCTTTGCTCTGGAGGTACTTTGATATCGTTCTGCATGCGGACGTTCAACAGATCACCAGGAGTTTTCAAAAAGATCACGAATAAACGTCGTATCTTGAAAGCTAAAAGAACTTGAGCAGAAATATTTGGAGGCATGATTTGCAACGCATGAAATTACTCTGACAGCACCCCACCATAAGATTGCTTATTTCAACGCCTGCTAATTTTTTTAAATTTTAAATGTTTTGAAAATTTTTGAAAAAACATAAAAAACGTCATATCACGGAAGCCAAAAATATTTGAGGAGACATAACTCGAGACAAAATTGGCAACTCCAGTGAGTATCCCGACAGCTGACAGAACCCCACTATCGATTTGAAAATTTCAAATTTAGGCGTAAGTCATTCAAGTGCCGGAATTGAGGAAGTTTCTCAAAAATTCAAGACAAACTGTCTAGACATTTAGCCTTGCCTAAAGAAAGACCTTAAGTTGATATACGTGGTAGCAAAAAGTTGAAACATACAGAAAAGAATTAAAATTTCCAAATTTGAGCATATTGGATTGAAAACAATTAACAGAAGATTCATGGTTTTCGCTTAAACATTGTCCCCAATGCCGTTTGTTAACTATTGTCGCCGAGGAAAATCTCTTGAACATAGCGTCCTTAGAGCTTTTAGCGTTGCGTTTAAATAAAAGATAGATAGGTTCAAAATCAACTAGCGTGTAACGCGCCTCCGGTGCTTCAAAGATATTCATGAACGCCAAAATTGTCTTTTTAAAAAATATATGAAAAACAACGAAGTTAATGCAACCATTACAACAGACGGGGGCATCATTATAACAACGCTTTCTACTCATAAAATTATTTCAATTTCAAGGTTCTTTTAAAAACTAGAACGGCAAAATCTGCAAAAATACTGGTTTCCAGATTTTTGTAGTTTTAAATCTGAAACAAAACAATTAGGTGGCCTACAGCATACAAGTGCACTTTTCATGTTTAAAAAACTTTAAAAAGCTTTTGAAACGATTTCAGTTGCAAAATCACTTAAATTATAAATACGATTTTTGTTTAATTAAGTTCATTTTTTTTCATTAGCCTGTAAAAATATCAATTGCTGTCATCAACACGTTATTCCAGCATAATTTTAAAAACAGCAGACTTTTTTTCTTAGTTTAGTTAAAAGTATCATAAAAACTTCAAGCAAAAATATTACGATAGAGGCCACATCAGCAACTGCTGGTAGTAACCTGGCATCATAACAAAAAAATTCGACAATCTCAAGTTTTGAAAAATATAATTTTTAAATTTCCAAAACACTAAAAGTGGACCCCTGTTCCCGATTTTCAGGCCCCCTTTTCATTAACAACCTTCCTGACGCCAAAACTTCACTCAGTTGCTTCTTATTTGCTGACGATTGCAAGATAACAAGTTCCTCATCGGCCGAAGACATCCAGTCCGATATTGACGCTATTGTTGCATGGTCTTTCCAAAAAGGTCACACGCTCCATTCTGACAAAAACCCAGCTTCTTGTTCCATGCGGCGTCACGAATTTCAGTGTCTCAGGCTTCCTTATCCCTGTCACCCAACTGTTGAAGATCTCGGTGTACTCATTTCCTTTAACTGATCTTGGAATGATCACATCATCTTAAAGCTCAATGTAGCAAATCGAACTCTTCATTTGATGAGGCGCAATATTCCACCTGCAAGTCCCATGGAATCCGTCAGAAGTTTTACAAGTTATGTATTCTGTCAGGTATCTTCTATGCTGGCGAAGCGTGGTCGCCATCGCTATTTTGTTAACGTAAATTGAAGACATTCAACAAGCGGGCGCTCAGATGGGTTACGCTCTCCCATGACCACATGCTGAAGTTACAGAGCACAAAATGCCCACCCATATCATATTATCTTACACTTTATGACCTATGTTTCTTCAACAAGCTTCGTCGCCGCGAAAATGGCCTGGACGTTTTTCGGTCTGTGAGTATGCACTTCAAGAGGGTCTCTGGAAAAACCAATCTGCGACCCTTCATTTCCTGCAATCATCGAAGCATTAAAAAGCATTAGTGATGATTCATTTTCCCACGATTAACTCTTTCCAGTGACTACATTGTAAAACACTAACATCAGCATATTTTCCACCATTTCAGCTCAAGCGACAACTTAGAAAATTTTTAACTAAACGAATTGTTTTTTTACTTTCCATGGAACTTTCATGCTCTCGGCGCCTAAAATTTAACTGGCCTACTTGTAGATCGTACTGTATTAATTTGTTTCATGCTTTGTATATATTTCAAGAGAATTTAATTCTTTTAGTAATAGTAGTAGAACAAATCGAGAAAAATTATGAGAAAATATAGCCCAAAAAGTTCGTTTGATGACAGTTCCTGTGCACAAAGGTCTATGGGATTTTGGAATAGAAGGGATGCCAAAAGGACACAGATGCAAAAAGAGCTTCGTATTTACCGAGCGGCCACTAAGCCGAAAGTACCTGCGTAGTCGTCCATTGAGCACAAAACAAAAAATGCCATCAAAACTGTTGTTAAAAAAAACTTTGGCGATTAGGTTTGGCCTGTTTTTGAACCCCACACTTAAGAATGCAAAGGCAACCGCGTTACCTCTAGACCAAGTGGGAAGGAGCCCAGAAGTTCAGGTTGAATTATAATGGAAATTCAATTTCTTAAAAATTTGTAAGAAAATTGATTACAAGAAACAAGTCCCGATTACAAGACAAACCAAGAAGTAGAATGTCAATTCACCAAAATCTAAGAATCGATCTGGTCTGCATAAACACTCGTAACTTGGTTGATGGAGAAAAATGGCATGTTTAAAAAGTGGGTTCTTTGTATAAGCATGCGCTCCGCTTGTTAAAACATATCAGCCAATTTTTATTGCCCTGTGTATATCACCACATCAGAGTCTTTTACAAAACTCGCAATTTTATCCAAAGATATGATTGCTGCCATTCCAGCGAACGAAACTTAATCAACCATTGCACAGTTCAATTATTAATAGTAATATCAAAAAGACCGGAACCTGACCTCAATTGTGACGTTTTTATTTTAAATTGACATTCATATAATTCATCAGCTTTGAAACGCTTCCCATAATGAAAATTGTTAACTGTTATAAAGGTCAGATTCCAACAATTATCTTTCACGATACAAATTACATTCATTTATAATTCTATTACTAACTACGCACATACTAGATGCAAATTCAGAAATACACATCTTTTCCGAAATAAATTTTGAGTTGTTCTAGGAAGACAAAAGTTAGAATTGTTTGAGGAGCCAATCTGATAAATGCGGGAAAGAACCCCTTGTAGAAAGCAGAGGGTCCGACTTTCAATGTGTGAACAAAGCAGTGGCCAATACCTCTGAATTCGCCGGGCTTTGCATTCATCATTTTTGTCTTCATCACATCAATCGGCATAGTTAGCCCAGTTGCGATAGTACCCGCGACTGTCGAACTCGCAAAATGACATATTAGACCATCTTTTAACAGCCCAAAGTATAAAATTTGCTCTTTAATAGTGTCATAAGTTGCAATTTGACCGACTGACATTAAAGCTCCTCTCGTGCTTGCCATGCTACATCCGCCGAACAAACGTGCGAAACCTTCCTCTCGAACGACTCGTATTAAGCCATCACAAGCGTGCTTGTAATTTCTTCTTTGCTCTGGAGGTACTTTGATATCGTTCTGCATGCGGACGTTCAACAGATCACCAGGAGTTCCGATGATACCTCCGAAGAAGCCAGCGCCTCCGGATATGGATATTTTTACGATTAGGTTCATTTCTTGGCCGGTAGATTGGAGGAAGTTTTTAGCACTTTCGTATACGCCAAAGCGAGCTGTAGAATAAGTTAGTTGGCGAAGCATAGATGCACTGATTCCATTGTATAGGCCGATTACTCCTTCTGTTTTGACCACGTGAACAAAAGCTCTGCTCATGGATAACGACTCTTTTGTACTAGCTATGGTCTGCAGATGTACCTGACAAAAAATTTGATTTCCTTAATAAGAAAACACCAGAAACATCGTGTAATTTAGGGTGCTCTCTCACAAAAGTTAATTTTAGTAATACTTGGATGAAGAAACTTGACATTTTTGTAAGTTGAAGTTCTCAAAATTGTGCGGCCATTTAAATGCTTCAAGAGGCGTAAACACTTTTTATCTGAAACCATTTGTGTCACGTGAGATGAAAAAGATTTTTTTTTGAATCTTACCTTGACTAGATCGAGAGGATGGGTGCAACAGGCGGCCATGGCAGAGGCCACGCCCCCAAAATACCATTTGCCCATTCTATGCGCACTCTTGCCACCGTCACTACTAGGCGATGACGTCATTATGTTTAGATGCTTCTTAATATAGATGCTACAGTACTAGCAATTACGTAAAATATAAGATGATGATGATAACAAAGGTAGAACGAATTGGAATTTTTGGTCACAATTTTATTTGGAAATTGAATTCTGATTCCTGATTACAACGATAATTATTCAAGAACATAGAGGAAAAATGGAATGTTTGAAAAAATCTGAAAACGACTGGAGACACAAGATGGCATAAAAATAAAATATTTTCAATTTAAAGTGTGCAATATTGCGAAACTTCAGAGATAAAAATCACTCAAATCAATTCAATCCAATTCAGCATCCAAATAACTATACATTAGTACTATTCTACATTTGCAGCAAAAATACCAACATCAAATGGCAAACTTTGCAAAATTCAGTAAAGGAGTGGCAATAAGTAGCCAAATTGCAGTAAAAGCACAAAAAGATAAGCTCAATTAGGGCGTAGTGCGAATCATGGTTCAGAATTATCAGCGTTTCTAAGTTGACTTATCTTCAGTAGAGATTGCAAAAGACAAATTGTAACCACTGAATTTGAGCTGATACATTAACTAATCAATAGTGAGGTTGAGGTATCTTGTAAATGAAGAGCTGCTAAAAAGCTTCGCCAAAAAATGCTTCGATCTGAAACTGTTATCTACTCCAAAAATAACAATTGCTTCCAGAATCACGAATTCTATGCGATTGGTTCCAAGGCACAGCAAAAAATGCCTTGCACAAAGTGCACGGCATCAGATGAGCATATTATCTAAAATTCAGAAATATCGGATAATTAACAATAAACAGAGCAAAATGTTAAAGAAAGTTTCGATTGAGCCACTATTTCCTAGTATTTTTTGTTATTGTTTCAAAAAGATAGTGGGAAGGACCTTGGTATTTGGAAAAAATTTTGTCCACGAAGAAAGACTTCTAAATTTGAACGTCACAAGGGGCGAAGAGTAGAGTTTGAGCAAAGCAACTCATTTACTCTTTTGTGGAAGCAATCTTCATTTCTTGTAAATTATTAAAAATACCTCCGGCAAGTTAGATTCAACGCCACCACACCCCTACCGCTGGGGCGAAAATTGGGACATTAATGTGAGCATAGTAAAAAGAAAGATAATTCTTTCTGTTTCGATCACTTTCCTTGACGCAGGCATATCAGATTCTAGAGAGCACGAGTCCAACTAAATAGCTTAAACAAAAGAATTGGAAATCGAAAACTACAGTCATTGGACAAAGAAGTTACAGCTTTTAATTTTCAACCGACGAAATGAACGAAACTTATCTTCAGATTCTAAAGATTTTTTCTAAATACTTTTTTCTAACTACTTTTTATTCATTATTGAAAATTTGACATATTATGAGCCCAAAAAAAACAAAAATTATGTTTTCAAAGCGTTGCTTGGACATTAAATCGAAGCTCATCAGAGAGGTGTTCTGAGTACCAAAAAATAACGGTAAACAGCACAATGAGTTGGGTTTTTTATACTCATTATTATTCTTTCGTAGTCAAAAGATCTTAGCTAGGCCCTTATATACGAAGGATTTTATTAAAATCAGCTCAAAATAGGAAGGATTTTATTAAAACAAAAAAACTTCTGACAATTTTTATTCTCTTAACTAAATATATGCGTTGATTTTTATTTTGTGACTGATTATTTTTTTTCAACTCCTTTTACTGTTCAGTGAAACTTATGAGAGGACTTCGCTAGGCTGCACAGCTTCACAATCATCAGCATATAGACAAAAATGTTCGATAGCGGAGATTGCCTTCCTTTTAACAAAGGAAACGAATTGAACTTGAGAAAATCATAAGTCAAACCGCGAAAAAGTAAGTTTAGGCCTGAACTTTTCCTGAGAAAAAAAAACGAAGAAAACATAACGTCATAAAAGAGTCTGAAGTACTTTTATCGACTCTTAAAGACTGAATTTTCAGACAACTTAAAAATTTTCATTCTGCTGAGAAATCTACAAAAATATATTCCACTTTCGAAACAAGGGATCAATCACGTTTTTTTTTCGCGCCACTTACTCTTTCGTAATTGGAAGCAGCTTTCAGCAAATGAGTAACTTTTAGCGATGAACTTAAAATGAATTCAAAAAGCGGACACATACCTATGGGCATTCATAAATGCATTAATATTTTTGAATGTACTTCTGTAGTTATAAGAGCATTTTTAGACTTGAAAAAAATCATCACGACATATAAAAGAATACGAACTAAGTTCATCGACTCTTGAAAAAAAAACTGGTTGAAGTTCCACGCCGTTCCTTCGTTATCAATGCAAAAGAAAAAACAGCAGCCATGGTTGTGCAAATAGCACTGGACGTTTGATGCAAAAAAGATCAAAAGTAGATAGAATGCAAAAAAATCTAGCAATTAAGGCAAAAAATCATGCGCGTTTCTGCTAGTATGGCTACGTTCTCAGCCGAGAAAAACCTGAACAACTGCATACATCTTTAAGCAGTAACAAACCATTGGTTCTGCAGAAACAGCTCATATGTTGTTTTTTCCTCGGAGATAAAGTGTCTCAATTAGTTAACAAAAAATTAGAGCTTGTTATTAACTTATTTAACGTGAATGATAAATCTGAGGATATAACGCACTTGAACCGGGTATATAATCATTCAATTTTGGCCAAACAGAAAATAAACATTTTTTGTCGGAAAAAGGGTAAATTTAATCCGCTCTCCGTACCGTGTTTCCGAAAGTTAAAAACATTCAGACCAGTTTTTCTCGACCCTGAGAGATTTTTCACAAACATAGCTCTTTGGAATCCGAATCATGACTGAAATTGCTTTACCATGACAAGCAACTAGAACTCTAGGATGTGTATTTGCGAAACAGGTTAAAAACACAATGTCTTTGTTAAATTAGTATTGAAAAAAATATATCAAGCCGTAACTAAACAGAAAACACTCGAGTAGACGACCGCTGAGCCAAAAAAAAGTCGTTAAGTTTTTGAGCAACAAAAAGTTCTGAAACCCTCGAATCCAGGATAAAATCAAATGAATTTCATTTATTGTGAAAATCATTAAATCAGAAGAAAAATTCAGGCTTTGGAAAGAGAACGGATAAAAAGATTTGAAAAACCGAATCTAGTTAACTATTGCCCCGCCTATTTCGATTTTCAGAAATTCAACTTTGGCTGCCACATTTTCAATAGCTTAAAACAATTTTCAGAAAGTAGACTTAATTGAAAATTTTTATGTAGGTATTATATAAATAGTGAGTAATACAAACACGAACGCGCGAAAATGAAAACCCAATTGATGTTTGACATTTTTGAAATGCATATTTTATACAGAAATGGTTGTCAAAAATAATACATGCATAGGGGGGAGAATAGTTAACAAGGTCCAAAGGGGGGGGGGATAGTTAACAAGATCCGAAAAACCATAGTTCGACAATTAAATTTTTCTAATAAACTTTTTTCTCTGTTTAAAAGTTTAAAAAATCTGCTCACGGAGGGGACTGAACACGGTGCCTTGTTTTTATCACAAGCATAGGCATAACCTCTAAATGCGCAGAAAATGTCATTGGATGTGAAATTCTCGAAGCACGTGACATATCGTAAGCGAATTCAGTTAGCAAACTATAGTTTACGGGAAAAGTATGGTACCCAATTAAAATACCCATGCTAATCGCGAAGGTATGTAGTATCAAAATATCTAAATTAAAGTGAAATTTTTAAATTAATTATATTTTTATTTCATTATGATTTCAATTTAAATTTTATCTGTTTAAATTGTCATCACGGCTTTTGGCATATCGGCCTTGCTGAACATTCTCATACCACCATAACTAATGTTTTTTAATGCGCTGTTTTTTGCTCGTAAATGACATTTCGTTGCAATTTGAACCATCGCAGATAGCAGTCAGACAACAATTTGATCTCTTCACTAATATGTCTGATGTTGGGACCAAACGAATGCCTGGTTAAAAAAAACAACTGTTTTCAATATGAAACGACACAGAAACAAAGAAAGGAAGGATTTACGAGCTCATATGAAGGAGTCTTGAGCTTTCATTTGTCGATTAACGAGTTAAACTTATTGATGCATATCAATTTTTGTTATCGTTACAGACAAAATACAAGCCAACGTAAAAATAAATAAACTATTTAATATAATTACACAAAGCAAGTTCCAATCTCGCGGCTAATTTTCATCACAAAAAATGTCAAATATTACAAGCATGGCTAATCAAAAATTAAAATCTCTTCACTTGAGATATTTAAAACAATCAAATGTCAAATAGTCGTCAATCAAAATAAAGATGGCTCAGGTGAGTTATGGCCTGGCTTGAGATTCTTTTACAACAATGGCACCTGAAAAGGCCATAACTACACGGCGCACTTTTTTCAGCAGCGTTTCACCAAATTGAATTCTACCAAACCAGCTGGAACTAATTGAACATAAAAACGCTCTTATGTAAGTGAACTTTTGGTACTAAACCGAGATCAAAAAATCCAGACCGGTTATAAAAACACAACACTGTAAACGCATAGTTGCAATTAGACTCTGTTTGATTTATTTTTCATGAATTATTAACGAGTACTTCGCAGAGCATAGGTATTGTGTGTAGTCATAAAACTGTAGTGGTACTGTTACTTTTAACAACACCATCCAACAAAAAAAAACAAGAAAAAAATCGATATGCAGACAACGAAACGCCAAACAAGCATAACACGTATGTCTTTGTCCAGCATCAATTAAATTTTATTGCAATTTCCTATTTATTATTCCTTTTACAGTGATAGGATACATTAAAATTGAAACAATTAATTAATTGGAAATCACTTCAGACATTAATCAATAAAGCAACAACATCAAGGGACTTAACAGCTGATGACAGAAAACTATTTACGGTGACTTAGTTTTAAAGGTATGCTTTGTTGATATTCAGAGATTTAAAAAAAAACGAATTCAGCTTCACCAACTATATTGCTATATTTATCAGGGTCCAAACGTCATATTTGTTTATTCTTTCCGAATTTTATTTATATAGAGAAACACCCAATTTACTTTTCTGAATTATATATTCTAGTTGAGGTTATAATGATAGAAATGGAATTATATTCAACATCATCTGATAATTTTCTGAACCTCAACTTCACCTACCAAAAGGACCCTTTAACTAAGAACTCATACGGCAATTTCTACGATACAATGTCTCGAATGGAGTTTCTTGATAAAGAACTGAAACAAATCGATAAAATCTGGCAACATTCAAATACCAGACTTCATAATCAACGACTGACTTCAAGTAGGGGCAAAGTAAGCCGACAATCCACTCGACCGAATGATGAAACTAGTCCGATTGCAACAAGAAAAAATACCGTAGACGTGGTGACATTATCTCCTCGGCGATCGAAGAAATCGGCTCAGAATAACCAGAAACAAGTCACATTCAGCTCGGTTCCAGAGAGACACTATTACGCGCCAGATGAGAACTCGAGTTTAGATCGAACCTCGGAAACAAGTTCGAACAGTCCACGAAGCGATATGCAAGGAAGACAGAACCATAGAAGCAAAAGCTGTCAGAGCGAGAACAGAAAGCAGATGCTATTTAAAAGTCCGATTGTGCATGAGATATCCGACAAGTTGGACAAATTAGGTAGGTCAAAAAATAGTTCAATTGACTTTGAGACCATGCTGTATTACGCAGATGAGATAATAGAATGTTCAGTTTAAGCAAACGGAAACGATTCCAACAAAAAATCATTTTTTTTCTATTGTTGAAAATTTATTTATTCATTCATTTTAATACTTTTGAGCTTTCTATCCGCTCAAACAAAACCAGTAAGATAAAGAGAGCAGAAAACTTGCAAAAAACATGCATTGCCACGGTAAAAGCTTCGCCGTGAACTAGTTAGTCGAATTAAGACAATGCTAAAAAAAATCAAAGAGCGGAAAAAGTTTTGCATTATACTATTTAGTCAACTACATTATTTTTAATAAAACAAAGCTTTGATAATTGTTTTGCCACTGTGTTGAAATTATAACTGAGAAAAAATAGTTAAAGCAGGTCATCAAATCGCAATCATTGATCTGAGAACCCGCAATTGAAAAAAAACTGAGAACCCGAAAAAAAAACATGAAACTTCAAAAACAGCTCTACCTCTTCCCTGCCATCTTCTCAACTGTGTTCGAAAATTTGGAGCCAAAGCACCTTCACAATTTTGAGCTGAATGGCATTTAAGAAGTCAAGGATATTTTGAATATGGCAGTTAACGCTGCAGAGTGCATTTCAGTGGCAATTTAGTTCACTTTGCCAGCATCTGGGGAAAAAATCTGGGGTGGTATACGTATTTTTTGTTTTTAATTGAATTTCAAAGCTTGTATTCAACTTTATTAGTTTTTCCTCTTTTCATCGGAGGCTAAAACAATGAGTAGCCAAAAATGCTTACAGATAAATTAAATTTAATTTGTTGATGTTCGAATGTCCTGAGATTGACCACTTCAAGCATGATTTTGAGGCACGTATTTAAGAAATCGGATATTTAAATTTTTGCATAAATTTTTCGGTCTCTTTACTTTAAATACCTAAAGAGATCCCGTTTAGAACAAAAGTTTCCGCATAATTCGTGGTAAAGGATCGCAAAGTTTTGCTGCCCAAGTTCTTAATCTTTACCGATTGAGCCAGAGCACAAATTTAAAACCTCTAAGACCCAATATACGAGAGATATTGAAATCGATTCGACTGGTTCTTCAAATTTGCTATCTCAAACAAGTCAAAACGAATTTCGTTTCTAAAGCGATAATAAAGTAAAAATCTAAATTGAAATCGGTAATGGCAAATGATTCTGCCATACACCAATTTTCAATTATTTTTTGTTCTTCGACTTGCCTGAAAAAGGGCACCATACAACGAGTTTGGCTAGAAATCATGGAAGATAGTCACTAGAAAAATTAATGATTTTTTTTCTAGAACGCCAATTGGATGGATTCAAATACTTACAACAGCGACGAAATCAGTACTGGGTTCATTCAAACTCAAGCCCAGTTCCAGCTCATCACACTGACTCCGAGTTGACAACATCATCTCCCGTTCTAAGCATCCATGACGAAAACACATCTCAACTGTCATCACCAGGATTTCTGCATTCTTCCGTTATGCTCGAACACAAACCTGTTATAATATCCCAACAAAGACAGAAAAGTGCGTTGCTAGAAGATATGCAAAGCTACAGGCCTAATCGAAGTGCGAGGACCAAAAACATCAACATCATTCAAAAGCCGTTGAGCAGAACCGTATTGACCGCTAATTTGAAGGATGATTCTTACACGAGAAACCAACCTGTGGCTACGCAACCAACTAAAAAACTCGATCATCACTCAAACTTGAGATCACAAAAAGGAAATGATCAAAAAAACATTGCACCAGTACACTACAGCATTCAACCCGCTGGTAGTCAATCATCAGATAAGATGGAAACTAGTTACGTGAAGGATAAAAATTTCACACACAAATTGCGACTCATTCGGTCACGTGACTCGATGAGAGAAATTCAGAACTTAAATGGAGACATTCGCAGCAAAATAGACGAACTGAGACAAATTATGCATTCTCATCCCGCAGAATGATTATAGATATAATATTATAACCATTAGTAGACCATTAATACAATTCAATATTTTTTAAATAAAACATTTCAATTTTGTAAGCTATATTTTCACATTAGCTGAGTAGAATCAGAAACCTATACTTAATTCCATGCAGTCATTAAATTCCGAAGAAACCATAGAAACTCAAAAAGGCATCCCACATCCCAATCAGTCAATAAATAAGAGCTATGTCAACTTTTCTTATAAAAGCAGTAGAGCGATAACTTTCAAGAAATTTTTTGAATCTTTTGAACTATACCTCTTGAAAGATAGATATTATCATGATGAAGTTAAAATATATTATCGATATTACGACGACGTTTTTTTCTTGAATTTAAACAATTTCGAAATTCTCGAGCAAATTGGTTGAAATTGTACAAATTATATTAATAAGGTTCGCAATCTCATCATTAACAAAACCGGTCTCGATCTCCTAATTTAGGGCAAAACATTTTAGGTATTATTGTTCCGACCATTTGAAAAATGAGGAAATACTTTGAACTCGGGTTATTTTTTCACACAAAATCAGCTACCGCAAACAACCATCTGAATGAGTCTAGTGATACATTATATTAAAGCCCTTTCAGTCGTGATTTGAGCGATATCAAAAAAAAACTTTCGAAAAAAAATTTCACAGTATTGAGAAAAACCCGTTAGAAACTTTCGATTTTTGGGCTAAATTGAAAATAATGATGTGAGCGTTCAGGCTAACAATAGATTTTTTATAATTAACTTCTAAATGGATTTTTTAGCGCCAATCTGGGAATCAAAAATTTCAAAATTCAAAACATATCTGCAGAACCTTTTTTTTGTTTTCAGTCATTTTTCTACGAAAACTGTTTTCCAGTTGGCCTACTTTACTATGATTGTCAAACTAATTTGCAAAAAAAACAACATTTTGTATTTTTTTAAGACTATGGACGGAATATTCTAAACAGGTCTGCATTCAGTTTTCAGGATTATTGAGAGAAATTGGAATTCAATGACCATGGTAATAGCGTATGCCTCCAAATTCGCGCGCTGAATTTTCTTCAAAAGCCTTTTTAATTCCGTTTTTTGAGACCTATTTATTGTTAATGATTTGATAAGGTCTTTCTCTTTGGATGCACGTCGAAAAAAAACCTTAAAAAATTTTGATAGCCCAAAAAGGGTGTTGGGTACATTTCTTTCCAAAAAGAAATCGATCAATGATGGTGTGTGTAATTAAAATTTATTTATCAAACAATATGTATCCGAAGCTATTTCGCAGATAATTAATACATCACCTTTTTAGTTTCTGGCTCACTAGATGTTCGAATAAGGGTCTGAATCATTCTTTTTGTTTCAAGAATCAAGAAAAATTGAGAATCACAGAAATGTCAATTGAGTGTAAAATTATCCAAAACTATAAATTTCTGAAGAAAAAAAAACGACTTTCAAGTTAAGATGTTACAAGTATGTTACGCATAGAAAAAGTGAGTTTCCCAAAAATTTTCTGTGCGTTAGAACTTGGTATTTCATTGCACACGTTAAAATCCATAAATGAAAAATATCTATGAAAATCAGTTGCAATGTCTAAATGAGACAGGATTATTTAAAAATCATTCCAATTAAAAACACAATAGGAGAACTAATCACGTCTCATCCGGACATTGCAAATGTATTTATTAGATTTTTTGCAACAATCGGTTTTACCCTGCTGTCCAATGAAATACTCAGTTCTAACGCAGAACAAATCCTTGAAACTCCATTTTTGCAAGCGAACTGGAAGTAGTTAAAAAAATTATTATATCCATGCAGAATAAGACATCCAAGGGTTATATTTATATTAGCAAAATTATTATAAAAGCAAGCAGAGCAACCATTGTACCCGTACAAAAAATTCTGATAGATAGGTAAATTAAATCAGTGTTCTCCACAGCTCTTTGGTCAGAGCCGTAGTTCATACCTTTTATAAAGAAGACTCAAAGCTCAGTTTACGAAGTTACCATCCAAAATTCCTTTTCATAAGGTGAAGTAAAATTTCCAACCGTGCTATGTACAAAAGAGTATACGCATACCTGGAATGTTAATCCCTAATTTCTTTTAAGCAGTTTGGTTACCGCAAAAACATAGCACTATTGCTGCAATTAACAAAGTTATCGTGAAAATACGCCTGGATACGAAATAGTCAAAAAAGGAACTAATTTTCTAGATTGGAAGAAGGCGTTCGATACACTTGATCAACAAATAAGGTTCAATAAATTAGAAATGCACCGAATAAGTGGCCAAAAATTATGATTCAAAATCAACCCTTAAAATCGTAGGCATTAGTTAAAAATGGAAATTCCCGTTCATCTTGGCTTGAAGTGGATTTGTGGTGTTCCACAGGGTTCCATTTAAGGACCTCTGCTTATCCTTTTATATATCATTGACCAACCCAAAGCTTGCAATCCGTGTGAAGTTCTTTTATTTGCAGATGATACAAACATAACAGGTGTAAATTACTCAATTGAAAGTTTTGAAAACGATCTTAAAGCGGTAAAGGACTGGCAAAATGCCAATATGTCTATGAACTTCTCAAATTTGTAATGAGATCCCTTGCTGGGCTTCATTGTTAAAGTCTAAAAAAACTCTTTTCTGTTTGAGAATCCTGTTTACATGACACGTAGAGCAATTTTTTTCTTTAAAAATACCAAATTCAAAAGTACAATACAACGAGCTTCGCTCAGCTTTAGGGGATCAAAATTTTTTATCTGTTGCGTTAAAACTCTCTAGTTCTGGACTTTTTCGAAAGTTTATCTCATTCAGATAAGCAACACGTATTTGCAGTTAACTGCTGATATTTTTGCTTCCACCTAGCGTTGATTTCAGGACGCTTTATAATATGTTAAATAATTGGGTTCACTGCTTACTGCTGCTTGAGTTCAGTTAGGTGCCCAGCGTCCAAATAGCATCCATTCAATTCTATTGGAGGCAGGGAGGTTTTAGAGACGAGGTACAGTTAGTAGGAGCAGTTACCGCTAAAGTTTTACATTTGAACCGAACAAGGGTGCAAGAAATAAATTCTGATTTCTTTAAAATTTGCAGCCGATTATGTCAAATTTATACAAGTAAACAGCTAGCCTTGAGTAGCATATGGTTAGGAAATTGTTTTATGTACCACTACAACCGTCAGATTGTTTCAGCGACGCTTCATTTCTTTGAATGAAAAAAGCAGATGTTATTTATTTTATTATTTTTTCCCTACATATGTTTTTCACCAATTTTATTTAGTTTTTGTTTGAATGTTTCTTAGTTTATTCGAAGGTTTCTGAGTTTAGGGCAGCACCTTGCAATCCAAACGGATTCGTTCGCTGTTCCCTCTGAATTGCTTTGAACTTTGTTCAAATATATTTGGTTAATGACTTTTTGTAACAAGGAGAAATTGATTCTTCTTCTTCGATGCCCAACTTATTGTATATTAAAGATTACAATTTGCACGTTAAAACTTATTTGTTCTCCACGTTTGCTTAAGTTCTCTCGTTCAAAAATTTCAGCTTCGAGCCGAGTAATATCCTCTCACTAACACGGCTTGAGGAAGGATGTTTACTTGGCCACAACTTTGTCCCTTACCAAACAAAACAATAGAAATCAAAGAATGAAATTTTTTAAAACAACTGATTATCTTTGTTATGATTATTATTTTTTGAATGCGTCAGTGTTTTGATAGAGCACTTGAAAAACCGATATCACCGATGCAAGCTATTAAAGGTTACATGGAAAGCAGTTGACAACTCGGGCCAGAGTTTATAACTGTCCAAGAGCCACAAGTTGCTGTATAGAGCGAAGCTATGACGCACCCACTTGCTTCTTACCCAACTAAATATGTGTCGTGCATCCTAGTTTTGTGTAACATTCCACATCAAGACTCGACCGTTTAATTGCTGCGGTATGGTCAAAAACAATTGGTTAATTAAAAGTATTCATCTATAATTGACATTTTTTCATTTCTATAATCTCCTAGGGAAACAAGAATAGCCGGTTGCTGTGAAAATAGAACAGAATGCTCCGACCACAGTCATAAAAACTACAAAATTTCTTTTTATAATCTTCAATTAAGCGTTGTTGGCGTAATTAGAGAACTATAAAAACGCGGAGAAAGTTATCGAATTAGGCATAAAACAATACAATTGTCTTCAAAAAAAAATAAACAAACGAAGAAATGAAAAAAATTCTAATACTTTTTAAAATTTTTTGCACTGAAAACTTTAACTTTTAAATAAAGCGCCTAATGAAGCTTCCAAAACTGGCTTTATTTTTAGATAAATAAAAAATTTTCAAGCCTTAATGGCCAATATTTATACACAGAGGCAAAGCGGATCACCACTTGCGATAGAACCCAAACAAGAAAAAAACACACAAAACACCGAATTTTTTTTGGAAATTTTGAAAAAAACGAGGTCATATTAAGTTTCATATGTCTTGATAGAAAACCATTCCAGACAAGCATGCCAGGCACTTGAATTTTTAATCAGCAACAACGCTTAAACATTTACGAAAAGAAACAAAGACGACAATCTTTGAGCAGACACAAGTAGAGTCGAAAATATTATTTTATAAAAAAAGTTTCAAGTCCCACATTAAACAACAATGGAAAACACTTGCACTTGCACTAAAGTTGTTTGCAGCACAAGAAAAATCAGTGATGTGGCAACCTAGCCATGAACCTTTAAGCTGAAACCAATTAAACCGATTTTTTTTTAATTTTTCAAGTCCCCCTTGAAACTAGAATAAACAGCACTTGCAATTACAATGAAAATTGTCTATAGCACAAGCAAAACCCGTTGTGTTAGATTTGAATTTTCAAGAAATTGAGCATGTCAGTCATCAGCATAGCCAGCAAGTGATTCAACTGATTTTGTTAAAGTAGAAAAAAGTATATATATTCCAGTTTGATAACGCTTGGTAATTGCAAGCGTAATAATAACGAACGTAACTCCATTGCTTTACTCGCTCGAAATTGGACTAAAATATTAACTGAATTTTCTCAAAACAAGGAAAAAATTTTTGGA